GATTCTTTTGATCGTTTTTATGGAACAGTATAGTTCTAAAAACTTATATAAAATTTTGAGATATTTCTCAAAAATTTATATAAGTTTTTAGAACTATACTTTTTGATAAAAACGGTCCCCGAAATGTAATAAACAATTTTCCAAATTTAGTTTAAGAAAATGGTTGTCGAATTGAGTTATCATTCCTTAAATATATTTATTTCTACCTTTTTGTAAATAGAAGTTACGAAAAGAATCGGTAGATAGGTGGGTCTTGCATTTATACATAAAACAAAGAATATTAAAAACATATAACTCATATATATTGAGTGGTTTCATATAAGGCGTGCTACCTGCTTTTGTTGCTGATAAAATTTAATTTTATAAGTACTACCGCAAGCAATGTTTGCATAAGTAATATGTCAATGAATTAACGAATAATATAACTAAATTAAGGTATACTTATCAAGAACGTTTCTTATTTTGTATATACACTTACCTAAACGCTTTTAAATTTTAAAAAATTTAAATTTTATTGAACAAATAAGTAATATGGCTTTTCCATGTAAGATTTTCATCGACATATACACCTAAAAATCTTGTCACTAAAACTCTTTAAATAATTGTTATCAATAAAAAGAAAAGGTAAGTCTCTAGGAAGCAGGTGCTTTTTACCATAAAAATGAAAAAAAATCCATTAATCTGAACCATTCAGAAATTTTGACTAGAACAAGGTTCATATTGCTAAAAAGTGTAAAAATGTTATTATGAGAAAGAAATAAGAATTATCAGCAAACATAATCATCATTAGGTTTGAAGCTTTTGTTTTTGAAGTAGATCATTAGAAATAGGAGAGGTCCTAATATGGATTATTTTGGAACTCCACATGAAATACTTAACAAATTAGATAGTGTATTATAATCCGCATAAACAAATTGTTTTCGAATATTAAGGTAACTTTTTAACCATATTAATATATTTCCAGTAATTCTGTACTACTCTAACATTTTAAAAAGAATTTTGTGATCAATAGTATCCAAAAAGCTTTCATCAAGAAAATACCAAAAAAAAATTGAGATTTTTTAAATGAGTCAGATATATTTCTTGTAAATTGTAGAATGACATTTTCAATAGAATTGTTTCTTTTGAATCCATATTGATTGCTGTATAATAAATTGTTTATAGTAAGATGGTTATAAATTTTATAGTACAAAATTCTTTCTAAAACTTTAGAGAATACAGAAATTAGTGAAATGGGGCAATAATTCCTTATATTCTCAATGTCACCACCTTTTAATAATGGTATGACTTTTGCTAATTTTAAAGCTAGTGGAAAAATTCCCTGTTTAATTGATATTGAATTGATAATGAATTTATAAAAATGTTGCCATTAATACCATCAAGGCCAAATGCTTTGTTAGATTTTAACATTTTAAAGGCAATTTCAAACTCTTCAAAAGATAATTTAAAAGACTTCAAATAAGAATTTAGAGGAAACATAAATCATTTGTTAAACTGTTAGCTATTGGAATTCTTTTTCCAAGATTTGGACCTACAGACACAAAATATTTATTATATTTATAATTTTGTTTTCATTTGTTTTACATTTTAAGTAATTAATGTATAATTTTTGTTTACTTTTTGAAGACTTCCTCAAACCCTTTGTAATCCAAGGCGATTTAATACTTTAAGCTTTGAGATTTAAATTAACTTCAGGGAAATTAGTGTCGTAAATATCGTAAAAAGTTTGAAAAAAGGAGTTATTTACTAAGTTTGTATCATGGGTTTAAAATACTCCAATCAATTAGAGATAATTGTTCTTTAAAAGATTCAAGGTTATCATTTGTAAATATGCGCTTTTTGAAATATCGCTTTTCATTAGGAAGTAATTTATTATCTGTATTTATAGAAAAGAAAATAGGAGAATGATCAGAAATATCATTTTTAATTATGCACTTTTTTATGGATTCTTTAAAAATATCAGTGGTTAAAATAAAATCAATTAAAGAGACACTTGATTGAATAATTCTTGTCGGCTGATCAAAGGAATCGCGCCTTTTTTTAAAAATGTTTTTTATAAAATCTTTTAATATCATTATTGACGTGGTATTGAAAACTATCTAAATTCAGATCACCCAATAAGATGATAAATTTTGTGGTTACGTTTTTTAATAACGTCATTACATAAAAACGAATTAAAATTTTTAATTTCACCTGAAGGTGGGCGATAAAAACAACTTAAAATTTTATTTTTATTTTATTGGTTAAAATTTCAATCGTTAAAACCTTTTTATCAGCATAAGAGATGCTCATGTCATGCCGGGTAAAATATGGTAAGTTATTTTTAACATAAAAAAGAACGCCTCCGCCACGCTTGTTTGTTTTTCGCTAATGAAATTAAAACCCTGCAGCTCAAAATTTTTTAAAGAATTTACGTCATCCGAACTGCACCATGTTTCTGCTAAGCAAATTATATTAAATAGATTACAAGTTTCTTCAATAAAATTATTAAAGATTTAAAAAAAAAATTTTAAACTTTGGATATTATTGTGAATTGTGTTAATATTATTTTGATCAAGAAATCCTTTAACTTCATGGGTATAAAAGTTATCGTATTTATTTTGCAAAGCACCTGAATCAGTAAAATAGTTAAGATCAGGATCAGATTCATCGTCTAATAAGAAATCGTTAGTCTGAAAAAAGTTATAAAAAAGAGTTACTTGACTCAAAATTTATAGTTTCGTTAGAACCCTTTTTTTTTTGTTTATACAGAATCGAAATGAGATAAAAGACTTTATAAATCTTGTGTGATTAATTTACTATATATAACTTTAGCGTACTTACATTTTGCCTTTAAATTTAGGAGTTTTTTTCCAAGTTGATGTGTTTTTTCAATTTAAAAGTTTTCGTGTAGCAGAAGTTTATCATTTAAAACTCTCTAACTTTATTTTTACTATCTTCCCAACTTTCGCTTTCGATTTCTTCATTTCCGCAGAATCTTAAGTTGTTGCGTCGACTTCTGTCTTCAAGTTCAGCCAGTTTGTTAATCATGTTAGTATTTGCATTTCCATTAATCAATGATGTTTTTGATGTTTGATGATCAGCAACCATTTTATCATAATTACTAATCACAAATTTAACAGCTTTATTAAGTTCCCCTAATTCTTTTTTTTTCTCCTTATTTTTGTCAACTACTAAGTTTAATTTGTTTTCAAGCTTTTCAATTCTATCATTAAACATCTTCATAATAATATTTTCATGAATTTCCAAAATATCTTTTGATTGTGCAGTTGTAAAATTTTTAATAGCCATTTTGAAATTTTTTTGATAACAGTAAAAAAAAACACGTCCGTTCGCAGTGAATGCTAAATTTTTTTTGTGTATATATATATATATATATATATATAATATATATATATATATATATATATATATATATATATATACATATATATATATATATATGCAATATAGGCTAATAGGTCAACTTTCGCAATCATTTCCCATTCGCTCTGTAGAGGAGGGAGAGAGGTTAAAAGTTGCTTGTGAAATATCAAATTTGCCCAAATAATTTCCTGGGTTCACCCCTACAAAGTTAGAATTCACGTAAACAAAGTGTAATCTACTAAGTAGAACAGAGTTAGATTTTACCGTTACTAGCTTTCCGAAAACTAAATTTACTCTTGCCATTCACCAAACAGAGACATAAAAATACATGCCTATATTATCACTGACGTTAAAAACTGCTGCTTTACTTTTAACCACCCGATAGCTCATCGCAGGGTTTAATAGAGAGATGTGAATACGGCTGCAGATTGTTTAATAGCCATAAATATTTCTTTGAATTCAAATAATTAGAACGACTCTACGATAAAAATAAGGGGGTTAAAAATAAAAAAAAATTTCCCCAAAACTAAAATTTTCCCGACTGTATTGTGTCAAATACCTAAAAAGCCGACTAAATTCGTTAAAAAGCCAACCATAACTTGAAAATCAATACAAAATCAAAATGATTTACTTCTCCTCCTTTTATTGGGGGAGGGGGGGGGTATAACACCCCTATCCCAAAACCCCGCCGTAAAATCGCCTCTGTACATATAACTAATATATAGTTTTTTTAATGGATAATTTTTATTAACATACAAAGTTATCAGTTAACAGCTGTATTAGCTACATTATAAAACTGTTCACATGTTTAACTACTTCTATAACTGTTTACCTAATATCTATGGTTTCTTCAACAAAAACTTAAAACGTTTTTTGTAACTTATACTTTTTATAAATTTTATCATATTTTAAAGTCAAACGAGATTTTTTTTTTCCGACGAAAAACGAGATTTTTTTTACACATCTTTTAAACAAGGATTTTTTTTTAGTCAAACGAGATTTTTTTTTACTTTAAAGCGTTTCAAAAAATGGCTGCAGTATAGTGAAAATTGCCGAATGCAAAACTGCTATTTGTACATTTATGATGCCTAAATATTTAGATGTAAGCCCGGCGTAAAGGATGGGGGAGAGGTTTGAACCTCTCCCCACCCCTCTATTAATAAATTTTTTGTTCATTCAAGTGGTAACTTAGACCATTTTAGACAAGTCAGTCGGCAAATGTAGACCGTTTAGAGGAGTTAGTCGGTAAATTTAGACAGTCAGTCAGCAAAAATCAAAAAGTGTATTAGCATCCTCTTTCTCCCCTCCCCCTCTCCCCTCTCCCCCTCTCCCCCCCCTCACACACACACCTAACACTTAATCGCGACGGCCTTGTATAGATATATTTTAAAAATACATTTGCGTTATTTTAATTTATACTTAAGTTATACTATTTCAAAATACATTTGTATTTTTGGTAGTTTTAGTTATTTATTTATTTTAATACTTTTTTACCGTCTTTTTTCTTTTTACAATATTTACTTGATCAAGTTCATACGCATACATTGTAAAAAGATAATGGCACCTTTGCGAGTGTAATACACAATTACACACAAAATAAAAAATTCAATGATCACTAAAATAAGTACACTTACAATAAGTCCGGCCCAATATGGTGTCAAGGATAAGCTTAATCTTGCTTTTCCAGCCATTACAAATGATGTTATTGATACAATTACTCCGATTGCTGATTCAATGCCTCCGAATACTATAGCTGCAATTGCATGATTTTTTTCTAATGACATTTTTTTTACTTAACAAAAGCAATAACTATAAACCAACTTCTCAAAAATGAAACTTCGAATTATTTTACAACATGTTACTTTAATAGTTTAGAGACATTTGTTTGTTTATTCAGTGCAAATTTGCTATACAATTTTTTATATTCTAAACTTGATATTTGCAAAGAAGTATAGTTGACCATGCATAAAAATTAACTGTTTTCATATTTTTTTTTACTCCTTACTTGGCATTGTAAATATACACAAGTTGTTTGCTGATAACAGCTTTTTTTAGTTTATCTTTTATCAATTTTAAATTTTTTATCTTTTGTTTATCTTTGTTTTAATTGCTATTGTTGCTTGTAACAAAAGCACGTAGAGAAAAAGTTTTTTTTTCTCTTTTTTCTTTCTTCTTTTAAATGTTGTTTATTAGCTCAATATTATAGTATTAAGACGTTTTATTTATTCATTTTGTTAACTTTTTTACTATGCAGATTGCAAACAATATTGCGATTGCAATTGCGATAAAAATTGGAAAGCTGATAAAAGTTTTAATTGGGGTTTTTGCATGTATAGCTTGCTGTTAGTTAAATGATTTAATAAAAATATACTTGGCAATTTGAGTCACTAACTTCGAACTTTGCAAGAGATAACAAATTTGTTGAGAAAAATCAAGTTTTTTTTTTTCTTTTTGAACTAAAATAGTCGCGCCACAGCTAATTTATTAAACCATTTTGGAAAACTCAATGTAAATGTACCTAAAGTTCTAATATACTTAGTTTTAATTTTGAATTATCATTACAAAGTCACTTGAAGCTCGTTCAATTAAGTAAAACTTTTCTTCCAAAAAATGTCTTCCAACGAGACTCTTTTTAAAATGTTATTGTCTATATTGTAAAATATCTTATTTTTACATAAAAAAAAAATTGTGAGTTTAACAATTTATTATTGAACAAAAATTTCAAATTGAACATCTATGATGAAAAAATTAAAAAAAAAAAAAAAAAACGTCTGTTGCAGTTATGGATGACTATAACATGGTAACATTTTTTTTTTTTTTTTTTTTTTAATTTTTTATTTGTTGGTCGTATTACAACTATATATTGCCAAAAAAAAAAAAAAAATAATGATAATAATAATTTCACAAATATAAAATAAGGTATCTGAAAGAAGATCAAAGGATCTTGTCGTCAGAACCTTAAATAAGTTTAAACAAGCATTAACAGTATCAAATTTTTACAAATTTCATATATATATATTCCAAATATATATTTTATAATCCAAAGAGAGATCACGCGGATCTACTGACCAATATTTTATATAAACGTATACGTGAAGTAAAAAATATAACATCAACAAAATAAGTACGAATAAACTTTTTACAAATATAAATAAGGAAAGGCAAAGTTATTAATTTATATTATTAATAATAACATAATAAAATGCAGATTAAACGGATAGCATGTTTCTGACGGCGATAAAGACGTTGCAACTTACTTTTTTCTGTACTACCCCAGGTTTTTTTTTTTTTACTTTTTTTTGTACTACCCCTTTTACTTTTTTCTGTACTACCCCTTTTTACTTACTAAGCAACTTACTTTTTTCTGTACTACCATAGGCGATAATAGCATACTTTAAATAACTGTGTATAAATGAACAATAAAGTTTGATTAAAATTTTCTCATTGAGGTAGATTCGTGCTTTATATAAAACTCCTATGTTTTATGAAATTTTAGTGCTTATGAGGTTGATATGATGATTCCAAGTGATGTTTTCATCAAGGTAAACACTTAAAAATTTTGTTACGGAGTCCCTTTTTATTTCATTTTGATCAATAAAAATTTTAGGTAAGTTTAATGGCAAATACCGTTTATTGGAAAAGCGAATGGAATAAGGTCCACTTTGTTTTATTAGAATTTAGAGTTAACTTAATACATTTAAACTAACTCGATACAAGTCTAAGCTCTTTGTTCATTGTTTTAAAAAGTTCAAAGATATCACTGTTAAAAAGAAATAAGTTAGTATCATCTGCAAACATAATACTTGTTCGATTAGAGGCTTTATTTAAATCAATAATATAAATTAAGAAAATGAGTGGACCAAGAGTTGAGCCTTGTGGGACTCCACATGTTTTAGAAAGACAATTGGTATGATAACCGTCATTACTCGGAACAAATTGTTTACGATTTGACAAATAGCTTTCAAACCATTTTAAAACTTTATTTTTATTCCATAGTGTTTAAGTTTATAGATTAGAATTTGGTGATCAACCGTATCAAAAGCTTTTAATTGATCAATAAAAAGTCCTAGAGTATATTGTGATTTTTCAAATGATTTTGAGATTTCACGTACAAATTGGATAATTGCATGTTCAGTTGAGCTATCCTTTTTAAAACCGAATTGATTAATGTTAAGTAATTTATTAACATGAAAATATTTGTATACACTGTTATATATAATTCTTTCTAAAATTTTTGAATAGGTGGAAAGAACAGAAATAGGATAGTTACTAATAATTGATTTGTCCCCTTCTTTAAAAATAGGAATAATTTTGGCAATTTTTAATAGTTCGGGGAAAGCACCTTGATGGATAGAAGCTTTAAAAACTTTAAAAAGAACAACTTTTAGCTGTTCAAAACAATCTATAATAACGTTTCCATTTATTTGATCTGCTCCAATTGCTTTATTATTTTTTAAAGATTTGAAGGCTCTTTCAAACTCTTCAAACAATAATTCAGTACTCTTCAAACAATAATTCAACTCAACTGAACCAATGCAATTATCAATGGGTACTAGAAAATCAGTAAATATAGATTTGGTCTTTAGGATTTTTTTAGAAAGTGTTAGACCTATATCGATAAAAAATTTGTTAAATTCTTGAGCTATAGTTCTTGGTTCGTATAAACTTTTCTTATCGACTCTAACCATTTGTGGCAGAAAACCTGAGCATGATTTTTGTTTTCCAATAATTTCATTCATTGATTGCCATGTGCGTTTTGTGTCATTTTTAAATGTATTGAGTAATTGGGAGTATTAACTTTTTTTTAGATTTTTGCGAATTTTTTCAAATAGATTTTTGTAGTCCTTGTAAATTTTTTTGTTTTTAGGTGTTTTTGTTTTCAAAAAATTTATATATAGTTTTTGTTTAATTTTGGACGATTTTTTAAAGCCCTTAGTGATCCAGGGTGTATTGCAGCTCTTAGTAGTTATTTTGTTTTCAATGATTGGGAAGTTAGCATCGTATACAGAAAAAAATGTTTTGAAAAAAGACTCATAGATATTGTTAGAATTATCATTAAAATTTATGTTATTCCAGTGCAGTAATGAAAGTTGATTATTGAATAAATTAAGGTTAGCCTCATTATAAATGCGTTTTCGAATTACTCTTTGTGCGGTTAAAGTTTTTTCAGAGTTTGTATTATCTAATTTTAGGAATATAGGGAAATGATCTGATATATCGGTTCGCAAAACACCTAATTTTAAATCATTGTTGAAAATATCTGAAGTTATTATATTATCTATTAGAGTTGCTGAATTTGTCGTTACTCTTGTAGGTTTGTTTATTAAAGATATTGAACCCGTTTCAAAAATTTCATCATAAAAGTTTTTAACTTTAAGGTTATCATTATAAAGAAAACAATTCATGTTTAAATCTCCAATTATAAAATTTTTTTTTTTTCAACGGTACCTTTTTTAATAATTTGTTGTAAAAACATGCTAAAGTTTTCGCTTACGCCATCAGGTGGCCGATAACAACAGCTTAGTAAATTTTTTTTTTGTTGCAGTTAGTAATTTTTACAGTTGCAATTTCTTTATCGCAGTCAGTATTAAGTATATATTAAGTTGTAGGGCACCATAATACTTTTGATTTTGCATTGTAACAGTTTTTTTTTTAATGTCTTTTTTTTGGCAGTTGGTTAACATTTGGTTAACTTGTAGAATATCTGTGCAGATTTAAATTTTTTAATTATCAAAAATAACAGATTAAATTCGTGAGACTATTTAAAGTAAAATTATAAGAGTTTATCAAGATACCTATCCTATGATATACATCCCAAGATACTTATCCCATGATGTACATCCCAAGATACCCATCCCATGATGTAAATTCCAAGATACCCATCCCATGATGTAGATCCCAAGATACCCATGATGTACATCCCAAGATACCGATGATGTAGATCCCAAGATACCCATGATGTACATCCCAAGATACACATCCCATGATGTACCTTAATAGAAACTATGAACTTCATAAAAAAAGTAAATTAATGAAATAAAACGTAGATTTTTACTTAAATGACGAACAGATAATAATTATAGCCCAAATAATTCCACCAATTGTTTAAATCACAATTTAAATAATCCAGATAATATCTCATTTTAAATGTTATTCTTCAGCGTTAATATTTAATAGCTTTGTATTAATTTTGTTTCAATAACTTTGTATCAAATAATAATTTTGCATCGAAATTCGATATTCTACTAATATATTTAAATATAATCTCTTAAATATTGACTGTAAATGTTAAAAGAAAAAACAATCGAGTTTTAGACTTGTTTATAACACAATGGAGTACTATTTTATAGTTTTAGGCCTCCCCACATATGCTAATAGAAAACACTCGGGTTACTTTTAGTATTAGTTTCTTTTTCTAAAAATTTATTTAATAAAATAAAGAATAATGTTTTTTACGGATATGTCTATCATTGAATATTATCATTAAAAAGGATACTCTAAAACATATCCACTTTAAAAACAAATAAATCATTTTGTCATCAAAAAACATAAATTCCAACTCCTCGCAGGACTAATGATACGAAATAATATAATTTTTTTGTCAGAACATAGCTCTAGTAATAACAGTTTTACCATATAAAAGTGGTTGACATAACAGTTAAGATGCCTCCACAATTACAATGTATCATGATGCCCCACTCTCCCCTTATAAAAGAAGTTTGCGGTTATTATCAAAATATAAAAAAATTTATAAAAAAAGTGACTTTTGGTAAAGTTAAGAAAATGGTTAAAGTGTCATGCATAAAGTTTAATAAATATTTTTGTATATATGTACGTATGTATGCAGTGCTGTCAAGAAATAAAAAAAAAC